TAAAGCCACAGTGAAAATCAATTTTTTTTTTATTTTCAATATCTAAGTACATCTTTCGGCTACTTCTCTACATAGTCGCCAGTCCGATGTAGACATTTTTCATAGCGTGGTATCAGCTTTCCAATACTCTCGTGATAGAAGGCAGCCGCCTGTGCTTTCAGCCAACTGTTGACGGTGATCTGAAGCTCGTCATCTGTGTGAAAATACTGTCCTCCTAGCCAGTTTTTCATGTGGGGAAAGAGATGAAAATCCGAAGGAGCCAAATCCGGGCTGTACGGCGGATGATTAAACACTTCCCATCCAAAACGCCGCAGGAGCGTTCCTGCACCATTGTCGCACTTTGCTGTCACTCATGAAAGTTTGACCATACACATTACTCATTCGTCGATGAATTTCCGCAACATTGATCCCCTCAGCATGAAGAAACTGAATGACAGCACGCAGCTCACATTTGGCGGGAGACTCTATTGTCCTAGGCATGTTTACTCGCTCACCACGCGCTGAGGACTGACGAGAGAGACGTGATGTGATCGGTAGTCGTACTACACACTCTGCGCAACATATCTGCATAAAGCTTCATAGGATTTTCACTGCGGTTTTAATTTCGCGACCGATCGAACCTTGAAAAAAAAAATAGCCCTCGTATATTTCAAGTAGTATCACTGCTTTGCGTTAGACAGCAGAATTAATCTCGCCAAGCAAGATGGCCGAAGGTTTGCCCTCCTTCTCCACTTTAGCTTCAACCCCCTCGCCCATATACACCGTCCTTTACGTTCGTGGTCTGGCCACTCAAACAGGTTTTGTAATAAAATGACGTCGGTCGCATCGTGCAATAATTCCGTGCGTTAATAATATCCCAGACAACATATATGTCTAAAAGGTCGTCTTAAGAAAGACATCTTTTTAAAGACATCTTTAAGATAGTCTTTAAGATCTTTAAGGTCGTCTTAAGAAAAACATCTTTTTAAAGACATCTTTAAGATGTTCTTTTTAAGACGTTATTGAATCTTTATGAAAAAGACGTCTTTACTATGCCTTTGAGACTTTCTGTAAACATACATTTCAAAATTATCTCTTCTAAGGCCGGTATTCATAATCGAATCCCCTTATAGAAATATCATACTAAGAATCATTGATAATTACTTATTTTCAGTATTAAAAATACTGGATAATAAGTAATTATCAATGATTCTTAGTATGATATTTCTATAAGGGTCTTATTTCAAGATTCATCTTAAGTAACGTCTTAAGATGCAAATACGGCTTTGTGATTGGTTCATGACATCTTAAGATAGTACTTAAGATGATCTTAAATATAAGATCGGACTATGAATACCGGCCTAAATGTTTTTGGAATATTCATGTATACAGGGTGTCTCATACTCTTCTCCGGGCATTTAATAGGGACGTAAAATTGGTTGATGTGAACAAAAGTCCTATACCGTTTTGCGAAATTCGTAATAATAGTCGAGTAATTAATTGTGAAAGATTAAGGAAAAGCGTGTGCTGAATGATAGAGGATGAACCGCTTGAGTCACAGCGCAGCCCAATAATATAGCGCGCGGATGTCGCGCGTGGCGATTGGAAAACAACGCACCACTGCTTATTCTTATACCGCTGCGCTCCTACGTCTTGCCGCACCGCATCGAGGCGAGATGTAGGAGCACAGCGGTATAAGTATAGAAAGTGGTGCATTGTCTTCCAATCGCCACGCGCGACATCCGCGTGCTATATTATTGGGCTGCGTTGTGACTCAAGCGGTCTGTCCTCTACCATTCAGCACACGCTTTTCCTTAATCTTTCACAATTAATTATTCGACTATTATTACGAATTTTGCAAAACGGTATAGGACTTTTATGTTCACATCAACCTATTCTACGTCCCCACTAAATGCCCGGAGGAAAGTGTGGGACACCCTGTATACAGACTATCTCAAAACAATTTACGAAACTCTCGTAAGAACGTAGAGCGGGTTAAAATAAATGTAAAAGTCTATACCGTTTTGCGATATTCGTGATAATAACTGAGAAATTAATTTCGAAATATTAAGGAAAAGCGTGTGCTGAATGGTAGAGGACGGGCCGCTCGAATCATAGAGCAGTCCAGTAATATAGCGCGCGGATGTCGTGCGTGGCGATTGGAAGACAATGCGCCATTGCCTATACTTATACCGCTGTGCTCCTACATCTTGCTTCAGCGCGGCGCGGCGCAGCGGTATAAGTATAGCCAGTGCGTTGACTTCCAATCGCCACACGCGACATCCGCGCGCTATATTACTGGGCTGCGTTGTGACTCGAGCGGTACGTCCTCTACCATTTAGCACACGCTTTTCCTTAATCTTTCGTAATTAATTTCTTGGTTATTATTAAGAATATCGCAAAACGGTATAGGACTTTTATATTTATTTTAGTCCGCTCTACGTTTTTACAAGAGCTTCGTAGATTGTCCTGAGACACCCTGTATATACAGGGTGTTTCTTTATCTCCGCCCACGAAGCACATAGCGTTATTTCTCATGAAAAATTGAATCGAAAAGTCCTAAACCATTTTGTCTTTAATGTTTAACGAAGCAGATATTCTTTAATAAATTCCAGCAAATCCGAGCGGTCCTTTAGAATTATACACTGTGAGCCGCACGCCCATAGTGTGCATGAATGTTCCGCCGTTGCATTCACGCACACTACCAGGCGCACAGCTCACAGACGTGTATACTTCTAAAGAACGGCGCAGATTTGCTGGAATTTATTAAAGAATATCTGCTTCGTTAAGCATTAAAGACAAAAATAGTTTAGGACTTTTTGATTTAATTTTTCATAAGGGATAACGCTATGTTCTTTGTGACCGAAGATAAAGAAACACCCTGTATATAGATACAATGTTGTATAAGTAATCAAAGTTTAACCTACAATGTGCTCACAAAAGAGAGAGAATATTCCTTTTTTTCTTTCGCAATATTTTGAGAGTAAGGTTATGGCTAGATTCTTTTTATAATTATATTAATCATTGTGATTGTTACATCCTTTGAAACATTTACCAACAAATATGTCATTACATTTTTTAACGATATAAGAGTATATTTTAAATATAACTCACCGAGATATCGTTACAGCGTAGTGGCATCACCAGTTTACGTACGATCATTGAAGTTACCCTACTGAAAAATTTCTGTTGAGATAACAATGCCCACACGGAACAAAACTTCCATTGGACGTCCATTAGATATCCATCATGGAGATTCAGAACCTCTAATAGACGTCCATGGAATATCTATAAAGCCTCCACTCAACATCCAAATGTCCGCATCTTGGACCTCCATTGGACATCCAGTAGACGTTCTAAATAGAGATTCTATGGAGATTATGGACATACAGTGGATTTCATATGGAGTTTTATTAGAAGTGTTATGGATGTTTTCTGAATCGTTATGGGCAATTTCTAGAGGTTGGATGAATTTTTGGAGCTCGTAATTTTAATTCATTCTAATAAATGAAAACAGCACGGATATGTATAACAAAAATGGTTTTTATTTATTTTTGATGAGAAAGGATGCCATACATTAATACATATCAATATATATTTCAAAATAATAATATAATACAAGATACAAAAATATTCGCCGTATAATAAAAAAAAACTTATTCAGCAATATACCTGAAACATAAATCGGGAGATTATGAATCAAACAGATAAAAAAATATAGATGGTAGTAAATATATGGCTATTAGATAAAGAATTCTGAAAATAAAGTGGAATAAGTTGTTCTTACATATATGACTATATAAAAATTGTAAAATATGT